TTAAAGAGGTTGTTAAAATTAATTTTAGCCTCCAGGTCTGCAATTATATAAAGGACAATTTCTAAAGAAAGAGAATCTTGATATTAAGATGGAAAATATACAACAACATGCAAAACAAAACATAAAGCATTGATGAAGACCTATGGATGGTCCCAGGATGAAGTCCCAGTATGGACTAAGTATGTGTTGATTAAAAAACAAACAAACAAACAAACAAACAAACAAACAAACAAACAAAACCCCAGCAAGTGAAAAGAGTAAAATGCTTTAGTGTTGAAGGAAGACATACTTTCACACTGAAAGTGGCCACAAGATAAAACAAAATACCAGATGAATAGATTCAATGCAGTGAAATTTTAGAACAAAGAAGATAATGATACAATTATAAAAAATACTACAGGGGATTGTGGGCATGCTCTGCCCACAGAGCCCCCCCACCCTCCACCCCTGACCACCGATGAGAATGAGTCTACCAAGACATGATCTGCTTGGGGAGGAAAGGTAGCCGAGCTTGCAAAGGAGAAGGGCCTGGAACCTGTTCCTCAATGGACTTTTATTGGGTTTAATTTGCACAGGAATACAGGGTGTATATGTAAAGCTCATGGATCATTGTCAGGCAGAAATGACTAAACAATAGATAACAGTCAAAGGACTCTGAAGGCTTATTCTGAGTCGGGGTCAGATAATTTAAGGGCCATAAAACTTTGGGGAACAAACTCACTTCATGCTTGGACACTTATTGTTTATATGAGGGTATTAGAAAAGCAGGTTTCACGGAATTTTATGCATTCTTTCCCCTGATTGCCCCGGGGAACCTGCCCTTTCCCTCACAGGGCTGTACTCACCTGCAGCATTGTTTCAGACTTAAGTCAGGCAGGGGAAATAAGGCAGCCAAGAGATTAGGAGACTTCTTGCAGACAGAATGAGGACTCAGGCTATGTCAAAGCCAAGGGGTGAGGGTCCATCACCCGCTTCTTGTATAGCCCTCTCAAGTCCTCCCCTGATAGCCCCCTCATGAACATGCCTGTTTTAGGTTGTCCTTCATTTGAGGAATCTTCCATCATTGGCTAACTGTTCATCTACTCAGGGCCAAGCAGGGTGAAATAAAGGGGGCAGAGGCGGTGCTCCTGCCAGGGAGATAAGCTTTGTCTTCCTGGTGGCTTAGGGTACCAAGGTCACTCACTTAGCCTTAGCCATGGGGTGGGGGGCAGGTTACAGCTTCTGAAACCAGGCAGGACTGTTCCCAATGGGGAATAAAAGAACAGGCAAGCTCACAAGCACACACAAACACACACACAACACTTAGTTTATTTACAATTAGGAAAGAATCAAAGTGGCATCCAATTTTCTTTCATCAAAACTGAACTGAGAAAACAATGAAGCAATATTTTCAAAGTTCATAGGGAAATTATTTTGAACTTAGGCTCCCTTCCATTTTCAATCTATATCCATTTACCTGCTTTCTGTCTGTCTACCTACCTACTTATCTGCTATTTATTGGAAGCAGTTTTGAAGTGCAACCTGTAGCAGACTGTATTTTCAAAAAAGGACAAGAGCAATATTTTAGATCCAAGATGGTTGCCAAACCTTCAAGATATCCCCTTTAAAAAGATGGAGTAAGTTCGCCATTTCCTTGAACCAGAAAAGTACATTTCAACTGCCATGATAGAATAGGGCGCAGTTGAAAATTTCATTGATAATATGAAATTTTTAGAATGTTATAGGATTAAAAAAATCTACAAAAGCAACCAAGTTGGAAAAAATAGTTGAAGAATATGAAACGAACAGTTGCCATACATAATTTTTCTAACAACTCTTACAAATTAATAGAAAAACTACAATGACAATTTAAAAATTGGACAAAATTCAGGTTTGACAAAGTCAGAGAAAAGGAAAAGCACATGGGCATTAAAATACAAAAAATATGCATAACTCACTAAATATAAGAAATATGCAAACTGAAATTTCAATGTGATGTCACTTTTGCTTACAATATTGGCAAAAGAAGATTTTAGATTCACAATATTTTGTAATGTAAGGATTTTATATTATTTATTTATTTTTAATTTTTAAATATATTTTATTATGCTATTACAGTTGTCCCATTTTCCCCCTTCACTCCTCTCCACCCTGCCCACCCCCTCCTACCCACATTCCCCTGCTTTAGAACAGTTCTTTAGCTTCTACATTTTCTATACTATTCTTGCCCTCCCCTATCTATTTTCTACCTATTGTCTATGCTACTTATTCTTTAAACCTTTTCCCCCTCTCTCCTCCTCCCACTCCCCTGTTGCTAACCCTCCATGTGATCTACATTTCTGTGGTTTTGTTCCTGTTCTAGTTGTTTGCTTAGTTTGCTTTTGTTTTATGAGTAGTTGTTACTAACTGTGAGTTTGATGTCTTTTTTTACCGTTCATACTTTTTATCTTCTTTTTCTTAGATAAGTCCCTTTAACATTTCATTTAACAAGGGCTTGGTGATGATGAACGCCTTTAACTTGGCCTTATCTGAGAAGCACTTTATCTGCCCTTCCATTCTAAATGAAAGCTTTGCTGGACAGAGCAATCTTGGATGTAGGTCCTTGTCTTTCATGACTTGGAATACTTCTTTCCAGCCCCTTCTTTCCTGCAAGGAAATCAGCTGACATTCTGATGGGAACTCCTTTGTAGGTAACTGTCCACTTATCTCTTACTGCTTCATTTTTACCTTGGGTAATGTAATTATGATGTGCCTTGGCCTGTTCCTCCTTAGGTCCAACCTCTTTGGGACTCTCTGAGCTTCCTGGACTTTCTGGAAGTCTATTTCCCTTGCCAGATTGGGGAAGTTCTCCTTTATTATTTGTTCAAATAACTTTTCCACTTGTTTTTCCTCTTCCTCTTCTGGTACCCCTATAATTTGGATGTTGGAATGTTTAAAGATGTCCTGGAGGTTCCTAAGCCTCTCCTCATTTTTTTGAAATCTTGTTTCTTCATTCTTTTCTGTTTGGTTGTTCCTTTCTTCCTTCTGGTCCATTCCATTGATTTGAAACCCAGTTTTCTTTCCATCACTATTGGTTCCATGTGCATTTTTCTTTATTTCACTTATTGTAGCCTTCATGCTTTCATCTAATTTGAGACCAAAATCCACCAATTCTGTGAGCATCCTGATCACCAGTGCTTTGAACTGTGCATCCGGTAGGTTGGCTATCTCTCATTTGCTCAAATGCATTGGCTGAGAGGCCATCAATTCTGTTTGAGCCATCTTCTTCCCCCCTCCCCTTTGGTCTGGTCGCACCTGTTACATATGAGGGGTGGAGCCTTAGGTGTTCACCAGGGCGGGGCACCTCAGTTGCTGGGTTGTGACGTTGCATGTGGGGATGGGGTCCCAGATGGAACAATGGCGCCTGCTCCGCTCTCTCTCAGACTTCAGTCCCCTCTGACGCTTCCACAAGCAGATTGGGCCCTTCTGGTGCTGGCTTCCGGGCAAGTGGGCTTGTGTACTTTCTAGGACTCTGTGGGTCTTCCCAAGGAGCTCTCCTGTGAGGCCGAGAGATTCTCCCAGGCTCAACCTCCACAGGTGTTTTCAATTGGTGCTTTTAGGATTTCTTTCCTGGCACTGGGTCCCTGAGTTGCTTGGTCTGTGCCACTGCCATTTTCGCCTGGTTTATCTGTGCGTGAATGTGTGTCTGCAGACAGCCAACTGCCTTGTGGGCCTCACTGGGTCTGCTCATTGCCTTCCACACCCAGGGTCTGCTACCAGGTCCATCAGCTGCCCCGGAGCTTCTGGGGTCCACCAACTGCCACCTGCGCCCTGCATGCCCACTTCTGCCATCGACCGCTTTTTCCTGCCAGGACCCCATGACCCCTCTCTGTAGGCCTCCAACTCCTCCCCTCTTACCGGTCTGGATTAATGGATGTCAGACTTCCATTCAGTTCATTTCTCTCTGTTCTGGTTGTTTGTTTGTTGTTGTTTCTAAATTTTTGTTGTCCTTAGTTTTGGCTGTGCGAGGAGGTACAGTGCATCTATCTACACCTCCATCTTGGCCGGAAGTCGTAAGGATTTTATTAACAGCAACTTACAGTATCTAGTTAAACTATAAAAGGCTAAAGTTTCTATATTTATTGCACTGTGCATTAGATCTCTATAGTTAAGTTACTCCTCACTGAAAGTTAGTACTCTCATGCACTTGACCTGTCCCCCACATCCTGTCCCTGGTAACCACCATCTTACTCTCTGTTTTTTACAAGTTTGACATTTTTAGATTCCACATTTGAGTCATATTTTACAATATAATAAAGCTTGATAAGATCATAGACCTTAATTATTCCAACGACTAAAAAGAAATGATAATTTTGTAATATGATAGAGGTGTTATCACTACAATGACAATCATATTACATATATAAATGTCTCAAATGAACATTTTGCACCTTCAATTTATACAGTGTTACATGTCAAATATATTTCAATTTAAGATAAACCCTTAACATTAAAATATCTCAAACCAAGAGTTCCACTTGTAGAAATCTATCATACAAAAACATTTGCATAAATATATGTGTGCTTGTGTGTGTGCCTACATAGGCATACAAGGAAGTGAATTAGAGCAGTATTGATGATTCCCAAAGTTACTAATAATGCCCATATGCCCTAATTTAGGCACATATAAAGCACAAAGTATAAGATAAAATAATGTAACAGTTAATCAAGTAAGGTAAATATATTTATATTTATAGGTATATTAAAATGACCAAGCTAGATAGCAATATAAATATATATGTATATATAAATATACCTGTGTACATATGAAATACAAATAGTACTTTTTATATAACTGGACTTACAAGTGAATATATATGAGCCTATATGAATGTATACATATATGTAAAATCATTTAGAAAGATATACAGTAATTCATGAATCACTGGAAATTAATTTTGGCAGGGAATGTAACCAGCATAGTAGTAATTTCAATTTTTATTTATGTAGTTTATGTTATTTGATTTTTCAAAGTGAAGATAGTGCTCACTTTGGCAGCACATGTACTAAAATAGGAACCATACAGAGAAGACTAGCATGGCCCCTGTGCAAAGATGACATGGAAATTCATGAAGTGTTACATATTTTTATGTAATAATATCCATATAACAGGGATAACAGGAGGAAAAAAAGAGGAGCAAGGGATAGAAAAACTGTTTGAAAGAGTAATAATGGAAAACTTCCCTAATTTGATGAGAGAAAAAGTCACACAAGTCTAGGAAGTACAGAAGATACCAAACAAGATGAACACAAAGAGGCCCACTCCAAGGCACATCATAATTAAAATGGCAGAATTCAAAGGCAAAGAGAGAATCTTAAAGGCAGCAAGTGAGATACAGGAAATAACATACAAGGGAGCTCATATAGGGCTAGCAGCAGACTTCTAAATAGAAAAAGCAAGCCAAAAGAGAATGGTGAGAAATATTCCATGTAATGAAAAACAAAGGCCTGCAATCAAGTCTACTGTACCCAGCAAGGTTCTCATTTAAAATGGAAGGTGAATTAAGGAGCTTCCAAAACAAAAGAAGGCTAAAAGTATATACCTCCACCAAACAAGCATTGCAAGATATGCTAAAGGAACTGCTTTGAGGAGATGAAGAAAAAGAGTGAGAGAGAGAAAAACACAGGTGCAGAGGGGAAAAATGACAGTGAATAAGTACCAATCAATAATAACCTTAAATATAAATGGATTAAATGTTCTAATCAAAAGGTATAGGGTAGCTGAATGGATAAGAAAACAGGACCTGAACATATGCTGGCTACAAGAGACCCATCTCAGAACAAAGTACCTATACAGACAGAAAGTGAAGGTTGGAAAAAAATATTCCAAGCAAAAGGACAAGGAAAAAAAAGCCAGGGTAGCAATACTTATATCAGACAAAATAGACTTCAAAACAAAGGCCGTAACAAGAGACAGAGAGACACTTCATAATACTCAAGGGAAGAATCCATCAAGAAGACATAAATATTGTAAGCATAAATGCACCCAACCTAGGAGCACCCAAATATATAAGGAAAGTTTTGGAGGACTTCAAGAAAGATATAGACAGAAATACATTTATAGTAGGGGATTTTAACACCATACTGTCAACAATTGATAGATTTTCCAAATGAAATATCAACAAGGATTTTTTGACCCTGAACAATACACTAGATCAAATGAACTTAACTGATATATACAGAAACTTTCATCCCAAAGAAGGAAAATACACATTTTTTTTCAAATGCACATGGATTATTTTCAAAGATCACATGATAAGACACAAAACAAACCTCAACAAATTCAAGAAAACTAAAATTATATCAAGCATTTTCTCAGACCACAAGAGCTTCAAACTAGAAACCAACCTCAAGGAAAAAACTCAAAAACATTCAAATACATGGAGACTGAATAGCATGCTATTAACAATGAATGGACTAATAATAAGATCAAGGAAGAAATTAAAAAACTTCTCGAACAGTGAAAATGAACACAAAACAGTCCAAACCTTATGGGACACAGTGAAGGCAGTACTGAGAGGGAAGTTCATGGCAATACAGGCCTACCTAAAAAAGATAGAAACATTTCTAATACAAAACCTAACCTTACAGTTAAAAGAACTGGAGGAACAACAACAAACAAAGCCCAGAGTGAATAGAAGGAAGAAAATAAGATCAGAGCAGAATTAAATGACATAGAGACTAAAATAACAATTCAAAGGATCAAATAACAATTCAAATAACAATTGTTATTGGAATAACAATTCAAATAAATCTAGGAGCTGGTTGTTTGAAAAGATAAGCAAAATCGACAAGCCTTTAACAAAACTTATGTAGTAAAAAAGAGAGAGGATCCAAATAAATACTATCAGAAATGAAAGAGGTAAATTACAACTGATACCACAGAAATACAAAGGATTGTAAGAAATTACTATGAATAACTATATGCCAAGAAATCTTGGTTTTCAAAACCTGCATGAAATGGATAAATTTGTAGAAACATATAATTTTCCAAAGGTGAATCAAGAAGAAGCAGAAAGCCTGAACGGGCTGATAACAGCTAATGAAATTGAAGCAGTTATCAAACACTCCTGGCACACATATCTCTGGACTGCATGGTTTCACAGAAGAATGTTACAAAACATTTAAGGAAGAGCTAACTCTTATCCTTCTCAAACTATTCCAAAAATCCAAGAATAGGGAAGACTTTCAAACTCTTCATATGAGGCCAGCATCATTCTAATCCCAAAACCAGATAAACTCACAACAAAGAAAGAAAACTACAGACCAATATCACTAATGAACATAGACATTAAAATCCTCAACAGAATATTGGCAAACAGCATCCATGAATACATTAAAAAGACTGTACACCACGATCAAGTGGGATCCATTCCAAGAATGCAAGGATGGTACAATATTTGCCAATCAAAAAACATAATATATCACATAAACAAAAAGAGACAAAAATCACATGACCATATCAATAGATGCTGGAAAAGCATGAGATAAGGTACAGCACCCATTTATGATAAAAAGAGTCAGCAAAGTGGGAGTAGAGGGAACGTACCTCAACATGATAAAGGTTATATGCAAGAAACCTCGTACTCAATAGGTGCTCAAAAGCTTTCCCACTAAGATCAGGAACAAGCCAAGGGTGTTGCCCACTTTCACCACTTCTATTCAACATAGTATTGGAAGTTCTAGCCACAGTGATCAGATAAGAAAAAGAAATAAAAGGCATCCAAAATGAAAAAGAGGAAGTAAAGCTGTCACTGTTTGCAGATGATATGATAGTGTTCATAGAAAACCCCATAGACTCTACCAGAAAACTATGGGACCTAATAAGTTAATTTGGCAAAATAGACAGATATAAAGTCAATATTCAGAAATTGAAGGCATTTTTATACACCAACAGGGAAATATCAGAAACAGAAATTAGGAAAAAAATCCCATTTGCTATAGCAACAAGAAAAATAAAATACCTAGGAAAAAACCTAACCAAGGAGGTAAAAGACCTGTACTCAGAAAACTACAGAACACTGAAGAAAGAAATTAAGGATGATACAAATAAATGCATGCATATACCATGTTCATGGATTAGAAGAATTATCATCATCAAAATATCCATATTACCCAAAACAACTTATAGAATCAATGCAATCCCAATTAAAATACTAATGACATATTTCACAGATATACAACAAATAACTCAAAAATTATATGGAACCATAAATGATCCAGAATAGCCTTAGCAATTTTGTGAAAAAAAAAAAAAAAAACAAAGCAGGGGGTGTCATAATACCTGATATAAAATTACATTAGAATTCCATAGTAATCAAAACAGTCTGGTACTGGTATAAGAACAGATACATAGATCAGTGGAACAGAACAGAGAGATCAGAAATAAACCAATGTCTCTATGGTTAATTAATATTCAACTAAAGGGGCAGGAACATAAAATAGAGTAAAAATATCCTCTTCAACAAATGGTATTGGGAGAGCTGAACAGCTACATGCAAAAAAATGAAACATGACAACCAACTTACACCATAGACAAAAATAAACTCAAGGCAGATAAAAGGCTTAAATAAAAGTGACAACACCATTAAACTCCTAGATGAGAACATAGGCAGGAAATTTTCAGATATTCCACACAGCAATATTTTCATTGATATGTCCCCTAGAACAAGGGATAAAAAGAAAAAAATAAAGTAATGGGACTGTATCAAATTAAAAAGCTTCTCCATGGCTAAAGGAAACATTAGCAAAACGAAAAGGGAACCAAATATGGGAAAATAAATTTGCCAATGATACCTCAGACAGGGTTTGACCTACACAATATATAAAAAACTCACATATCTCCACACAGGGAGATAAAAATCCAATTAAAAAATGCGCAAAGGACCTGAACAGACAATTTTTCAAGGAGGACATACAGAGGTCCCAGAGACATATGAAAGGATGCTCAGCATAATTAGCCATCATAGAGATGCAAATTAAAACCACAATGAGATGCCACTTCACACTGGTCAAAATGCCCTTCATAAATAAATTAACAAACCAGCCCTGGAGAGGTTGTGGAGAAAAGGGAACCCTAGTACACTGTTGATGGGAATGAAGACTGGTGCAGCCACTGTGGATAACTGTATAATTTCCTGAAAAAACTAAAAATGGAACTGCCTTTTGACCCAGGAATTCCACTGCTGGGATTATACCCTAAGAATCTTAGAACATCAATTCAAAAGAACCTGTCCACACCAATGTTCATGGCAGCATTGTTTACAATAGCCAAGTGCTAGAAAGTCTAAGTGTCCATCAGTAAATGAATGGATCAAAAATGTAGTACATCTACTCAATGGAGTACTACACAGCAGAAAGAAAGAAGGAGCTCCTACCCTTTGTGACAGTATGGATGGATGTTGAGAGCATTATTCAAAGTCAAATAAGCCAAGTGGTAAAAGACAAATAACATACGATCTCACCTATAAGTGGAACCTAATCAACAAAATAAGTGAGTAAAATAGAACCAGAGACATGGAAATAAGGAACAAACCTGCAGTTACCAGAGGGCTGGGGGAAGGGGGGAAGGGTGCAAAGCAGGAGAAGGGTCAAGACAAGCAATGAGGATAAAGGACCCATAGACAAAGACAATGGGGGGGAGGATTGAATGTGAGAGGGGATTGGGTAGGACAAGGGAGAGTAATGGGGGAAAAACAGGGGCAACAAAATATAATAAAGTTAAACAACAAAATATAATAAACAACAAAATAAAATAACAAAATGTAATTGAACAACAAAATATAATGAAATTTTAAAAAATTAAACTAAAAAGTAGGAATATATATTATTTATTTTTTACTGAAAATATTTAGAAAAAATAAATTTCACATGTTGAGCAGGGCTTGGTGAGAGCAGATTATCATTGCTCCAGGTAGTGTCATCTGGGACAACTCCAATGGGACTAGAGTATCTACATCTAAAATGGCTCATCTACACCCCTGGCCAGGTAGCTCAGTTGGTTAGAACATCACCTTGATACATCAAGATTTCAGGTTTCATTTCTGGTCAGGGCACATACAAGAAACAACCAATGAATAAGTAGAACAA